GATTTGGCTCAGTGGATAGAGAGTCGGCCTCGGGACTGAAGAGTCCTGGTTTTGATTCCAGTTAAGGGCATGTACCTTGGTTGCAGACACATCCTCAGTAGGGGGTGTGCAGGAGGCAGCTGACCGATGCTTCTGTCTCATCCATGTTTCTAACTCTATCCCTCTTCCTTCCTCGCTGTAAAAAATCAATAAAATACATTAAAAAAAAAACAAAAACAAAAGTTCTATTGGGACGGTATCCACAAATTACCTGAAAGATGGGGAAATGTGTAGCTAGCAGTGGACATTATTTTGAATAAAGCACTTTTGCTGCTTCTCTTGAAATTATCATGTTTTCTTTGATTACAAAATCTGCATTATTAACCGGTACACCTGGTAATATAAAAGTAGACATTACACCTTATTTTATAGAAAGATCTTATGTTGGCTGTCAGTCATCAACCTTTCTTCAGTATTAGAATAAAGTAAGCATAGTATTTGAGTTAAAAATAGGCACTTTATTATTAAGATTTTAATTTACTATGTCTGTATTTACTTTTTACTTATTTTTAATAGTCCTAAAGTGCATCGCAACAGTCCCCTGAGAGCTTTGGTATTTGACTCCACCTTTGACCAGTATAGGGGTGTGATAGCCAACATAGCATTATTTGATGGAGTGGTTTCAAAAGGAGATAAAATTGTATCTGCACATACTCAAAAGACATATGAAGTTAATGAAGTAGGAGTTCTGAATCCTAATGAGCAGCCAACTCATAAACTGTAAGTAATACACATTAGTAAATAAGTACAATACACATATGTCTATCTCATTCTTTCTCAACTTGATATACTTAGATTGATCCCAATTTGAAGACTCGGACAAAAACCCAAAACCTGGTTATCTAAAGCACCTATCTAGTGAATGATCTTTTGAAAGGAATCTCATGTGTGAAGGATAATAAATAATCTGATATATTTTTATTCCTTTTGACTAGTCATAACTAATTTTGTGACTCTGCAGATAAGGATTCTATATTGATGCATTCGTTGAGACAGTGAAAGACATAGTTCCTTCACCCATATCTATATTCATATCAGGCATCTTTTTGTTGTTGTTAATCCTTAGCTGAGGATATTTTTCCCATTGCTTTTCAGAGAATAGAAGGGAGAGAGAGAGAGAGAAATGAGAGAGGGAGAGAGAAATGAGAGAGGGAGAGAGAGAGAGAAACAAACATTGATGTGAGATAGACACATTAATTGGTTGCCTGCTGCACACACCTTGACCAGGGGCAGGGAGCAAACCCCATACCCAGGTATGTACCCTTGACTGGGAATCAAAACCGAGACCCTTCAGTGCACTGGCTGATGCTCTAATCAGTGAACCACACCAGCCAAGGCTTTTGACATTTTACTTTTCATAATTAAATTTTTCAGCATAAAAGTAATGAAGAAAATGTCATAATTCTTTTCTTGAGTGTGGAATTCATGATAGAACTTTGATTAACTAGAATTCCTGCATGTGGGGTTAGCAAGGTAGTTGCACTGGAAAAACTGAATTCTGAGTTCGCTTTTAAATATTTAATTCTGTCAGTACTCTAGGTCACTTAGTTGAAGCTTTCTATGGTCTTTGTTTCCTTATTTGTATAAAAATTAAGATATTGAACCAGGTGACTATATGGATCTCACTTGATAGTTTAAAGTTGTTTGTCTAAAACTAGCACATTTTGTTCATTACATTTTTGAGAGTCATAAAGTAGTTTATCTTAATTTTACTGAAGTATTTCTAAAGTCTCTCTATATTCTACCATATATATCATATACTGATCATTAATTTGGTGTGTTATGTAGATTTGCTTTTTAAAAACAAAACAAAAAAACCCCAAAAAATTAAGCTAAAACTCTGAAATCTTTGAATTTGCTCTTTTTCTACAAGAGGAACATCAAATAGATGTCAGATTTGTTGTGAGTTCACTTTTTTCTGCTTGTTTTTTCTTCTTTAGTGGGGTTAGCAAGGTAGTTGCACTGGAAAAACTGAATTCTGAGTTCGCTTTTAAATATTTAATTCTGTCAGTACTCTAGGTCACTTAGTTGAAGCTTTCTATGGTCTTTGTTTCCTTATTTGTATAAAAATTAAGATATTGAACCAGGTGACTATATGGATCTCACTTGATAGTTTAAAGTTGTTTGTCTGAAACTAGCACATTTTGTTCATTACATTTTTATTTGAGAGTCATAAAGTAGTTTATCTTAATTTTACTGAAGTATTTCTAAAGTCTCTCTATATTCTACCATATATATCATATACTGATCATTAATTTGGTGTGTTATGTAGATTTGCTTTTTAAAAACAAAACAAAAAAAATTAAGCTAAAACTCTGAAATCTTTGGATTTGCTCTTTCTCTACAAGAGGAACGTCAAATAGATGTCAGATTTGTTGCGTGTTCACTTTTTTCTGCTTGTTTTTTCTTCTTTAAAGCATGTTTGTAAAACAATACACTAATAGTGTTCTAATACTACAAGAAGTCTTTTATGTTTCTGCAACTATCAGTTTCACGGTGTTTACATTATATTTAGCTAGTGTTCAATATGCAAGCAAAGGTAGGCAGAGTCATGAAAAAGGCCCTGAGGTTGTTGTTGGTAATGGGGTTTACTGTACGGCATGGAGTGTTCTGCTGATCATCCTTGGAGTTCAGAATTGATATGTAGCACTTAGTTTCCATTTCATGAG